AAGATTTATCGAAACCAGGTTTCTCTTCGTATCTGCTATTTTTGGAATAACAAATACCACGATTCATATGAATAAATAAATAAACAACTAACAAACTAGCACACCTATGATTCAAAAATCGCAATAATTCTGAAACTAAACCCACAAACACTTGCATTCGAACCAAATATTTTCCTTATAAAATTAAAATTTTCAATATAATAAGCTATACCACTTACCGTGTTGGTTCGACCTTCTTTTCACAACTTGTTCGGAACGTCAGTGAGACCCTGTGGAACGTACCTAGTCCCGTGTCCTCTGCCATAGTATTCGTGATTTCCATTATTGGACCACTGGCTGGGTGCATTCCCAAACGTTTCGCCTGTATCGTTTTCGGCATCGGCAGTTAGAAGCGCCATCATAAGCACATAATTACAACTTATCAAAGTGACAAGTGAAAGCAATCCGTTTGACCAATTTTCCGTTCAACTGCTGTGGCATCACTCATTGCCCCTATTTTTTGTTCTACTCTCTAGTGTCGCATCTCTTTCTCTCAACCCCATTTCATATGGCCCATCCTCTTATTCACATAATTCTATGCTCTTGTTTCCTCCAAGCTCGCCTAAGAGCGTGTCGCTATAAGCGGGTTTATGGAAGAGTAATCATCTCCACCACCGGTACAAGGTGCAGTTTACAGAGCTCTTGACCTACATTCTGCCTCTCCTCTTTTTTTTCCCTACCCGATGGAGAATATCTTGTGGATTACATTAACGAGAGAATTATATTAAATAAAATCAAAAGATCATAGAGCTAAGGAAATCATCCTCCTTTCTTTGTTTCATGATACCACTGTATGAAAAGCTGGTCATCAGAACATCAGTCATCATATGGGACCGAATGCACTCTATTGAGAATGATTTTTATCCAACTTTAAAAGGCCTAGAACAGCTATGATGCATGTTTAAGATCACTCTTCTGCTGGAAAATGAATCCCCTTTCACATGACTTTGAGCCAGAGTAGTTGGCATATCTCTGCATAATAGAATTGGATGTGTACCTTAAATAATGTAGGTTGACTTAAACTCTTATTCAACACCTACTCATTATTTAATGGGGTACTTACTGTGAATATAGTCATGTGTTAGGTATTGATAACATATATAGATTTGCCTCATAGGCAACAATCTAACTGTAACTGCCATTTTGTCATACTTGGCCTGCCTTGAGGACCACATCTGCCCATTTGCACCTAAGTATGTGTGGCAGGGTGGTAGGGTTTCCGCTTGGTTTCTGCGACCCGATTGAGATTCCCGTTGGGGGTACCGACGAATGCCCAAAGAGATTAAAACCACTTTTCATCCATGAGATTAAGAAAAATTCATTGGTATCATGGGGCCTACTCATCCCGTTGTGGGAAATGCAATTATCCAAGTTGTTAATTAATAATTACTGATAGCCTCGAAAACTACTTATATAAACAATAAGTAACGTTGTTGATTTGAATGGCAAACACATTTTTGCTTAATCGACTATCTCACCATAAAAATATGAATGGGGGAGGACTGGTTCGCTTGAATGCCGTATCTGCCCTAAGAATTATATAAAAAATCCACAGCTCAAAAATACACGTATTCTTTAGCGACATTTCTCTCTCGAGGAAGACGACCACATTAACTCAATTGACCTTATTAAAGTCCCAAGCCCCATCCGGGTCCAACCATTTCCCTTGCTCCAAATCGTCGAGCTGATATTCGAGCAGCATTTCCGAACCTCGCCAGACTTCATCGCCAGCCTCTTCTAACACTTGTGGTACACCGACGGCTATGGATAGCACAAACAATGCCTTTGTGGGCGCTCTACTTCCTCTTGACTGCTCAACCCTCCAATCACTTTGGACCCGGACTACTGTTTCCCGGTGGTTAAGAGGCTACTTTGGAAATCGATTCGATGCTTCCTGATTGACAAAGTTATTATCGTTTTCCCACTGTCACTCGGCCAACTTGTAGACCTGGTTAATCGGAGCTGTCAATCTGGCCTGTTAATCTGGTGGGCACGTGCATATGACCGTGCTTGATGTGTGTACTCTCATGCATTATACGCCGCCTTGGGGGGTGAGTTAAGGCACTGAATAGAAAAGCAGACAGATTGTGAGGCGTATCTAAGGGTAGATCTTTTTCGGAGGCCGGGCCTTATTTGCATTTTAACCCAGATCACCCCTCTATGAAAAACAAACGAATCATTTCGTCCTTTCCATCGTAGGGCAATCTAAATCGAATAGTAACAGATTGACCATCCGATAGGATGTGAAATTGCGGGAGCCAACTCTATGACGGATAGGATACACCGCTTGTCCAATGGTGCTGCACGCGTTGGTACTGACATTATCCACGATGCCACCACTCCGGTTTATTCTGGCAGGGATAAGATAATTCAGAAAAACGCCGTCTTTTTCAACCACCTCATGGCTCGTCGCAGCTACCAGGCTGGCGTGACTTTACAGACGCCAGGATCCCTTGTCGATACAAAGTCCCCACAAAGGATACGTGTTGAGAGAGACGTGTTGTGTTGAGTTGTCGATTGAAGTGTGTGAAGAAGAGACTCGTGGGAAATGAAAGTTCCTCGAGGCTGTTGTCATAGAAACCTCCTTCGGTTACGGCGACAATGCGCTTGGTTTACTTTTGGCATAAATAAGTTCAAAGGGTTTTCAGTAATCTTTGGAACAGAAATTTTACATAAATATGAAGACCAAGATGGTGTGGCCTTATGTTTAGTAGCAGAACTTCGTCAGCCTAGGTCGCCTAAGATGATTCAAGGACGAATAGTTGAGTCGTATTTGAGTAGGATTTCGAGATTACCAGTAAATAAGTGTAATGAGATGTATTCACCCTATTTCGTGTAAGGTGATGAAGGACTGGTAGTAGA